CACTCAAGCAATCTAGAAGGTGCTGAGCTCTCAAGTCGTCTCTACCACATGACGTACCCCGTAGAAAACCCCTAATCTGGTAAAAAATAACAGCAGGAGTAGCGATAAGATGATGATCAACAGGGATATATGGCAATATAGGAGTAGCGATAAGGTGATGATCAATAGCGATAAGGTGATTACTATTATTATATCTCAAAAACAAAAGTCATACAACCTAAAATAAATTAGTGGGAAGCCGAGATACAATCTGGCCCCCCACTCCTCTAGCTATAGCAAAGCCTACCTTAGTAAATATATCATCTGCATGTTGGGGTTTAGTGAATCCTACTCACCGTGGAAAAAACCCGAGCCAAGGATCATGCTCGCAATAATTACTATCACTAATACATAAACATAAACATAAACATAAAATGGCAAAATAGGAAATATACCTTTGTCATGTGCTTCGCCCGACCGATTGAACTCTTACTTGAAAGCTTAGCCCCGAAAAAATGAGAGCCTCCGACGGAGATCCGCCGCAAAAACGACTTCCGACTTTTAGGTCCGTTACCTTGAGGTTAGCGAGGTCCGACCAAAACCCGAGTATTATACACTACTAGAAATAGGCTAAATAGCGACGGAATTGTTGCGACGAACCCCTTTTTCCGTTGCAAAGTTCACATTTTACGACGGAATTTGTTTCGTCGCAATTTAGCGACGGAAAAGTTGAGTTCCGAGGCTGTATCCGTCGTAAAGTTTGCGACGGAAATAAATTTCATCGTAAACATAATTTTCCGACGGAATATTCCGTCAGAAAATTATGTTTACGACGGAATTTATTTCCGTCACAAAAGTTGGGTTTTTTTTTTTGAAAAATAACAATCTGGATCGACCTAGAAAAAAAAGGGGGAAAGAGCATTTGAAGCAGCAGAGAGAGAAAGAGAAGGAGAGAGAAAAAGAGAAGGAGAGAGAGAAAGAGGGCGGCTCTCCAGCGACCGTAATCGGCGACGGTGACACCGGCCGTCGACCCACGCTCGCCGCCGAGAACGAAAGAGAGAAAGAAGGGTGAAAGAAAGAGAAAGGAGAACGAGAAAGAGAAAGAGAAGAGAAGGAGGAAGAGAGAGCCGTCGAGGAAGAAGAACGACGCTGGTGGTTTCCGGCGACGCTGCCACGTCTAGGTAACTTTAAATTAGTTTTTTTTTTTATTTTGCAAAAAAACCACCACCGGCTAACAATTAACCACCACAATGCAGCCTAGCTAGCGGCGCACTTCCGTCCCCTATCCATGACTGAACCGACTGGTGGTGGTTGTTTCCGACGACGCCACTTCCCCCTTAAAATTCAGTAAGTTGTTTTTGTTTTTTTTTTTCTTTTTTTTTCCGGCACTACTACTAGTAATAATTATTTGATTTATTAACCACCATAATGCAGCCTCCCTTGACCACCACAACCGCAACCTCCGGCTTCCTCCCTTCCCTCGCCGTGGCTGAAGCAGTTGGTAAGTTGTCCTTTCCCCAATTTTCTTTTTTTTTTAATAATAAACCCTTATTTATTTAATTTAATTATTTTTTTAAAATATTTTGTATGTAGGATTTGTAAAATTGGTTTAATTGTCAAAAAGAATTGCAGATCTAAAGGTTAGTCACATTACAAACCCTAATATAACGTATATATGTTAGTTTGGTTTGGTTTTGTTTAACATAACTTAGTTTCGTTAAGTTTATTCTAATATAATGTGTGTTAGTTTAGTTTAGTTACTTTTTTTTTGTAAGTATGTTAGTTTAGTTTAGTGTAGTTTACTTTTTTGTAAGTATGTTAGTTTAGTTTAGTTTATTTTAATATAATGTGGTTTAATTTAGTTTAGTTTTACTAAAGTATATTAGATTAGTTTAATATTATGAAACTTTAGGTACGTTTTGTTTGTTTTGTTTAATATGATGTTTGTTAGATTACTTTAGTTCATTATAATCTAGTTTAGTTTTGTTTAGTTTAATATAATGTTTCTTACTTAAGTTTAATTTTTTATAATGCATGTTACTATATTTAATATTATGATATGTTAGTTTAGTTTGGTTTTGTTTGGTTTGATTTGTTTATATTAATGTTAAGGTTTTATGATATGTTTGTTTATGTTAAGTTTAATTATGATGTATTTGTATAATTTTTTGTATGTTAGATTAGTTTTAATATCTTTAAGAAAATCATTTTCATAATCATATGCCTAGATACCCGTTCAAGGCATACACATTAGGAGTATGTCTTGAATAGTCCCCGGTTGGGACTGTCCTTGTACGTTGTGAATGTATTCCTTTGTTTTAATTCTAAGGAAGATCCTTGCTTGTCATTTCTCTACAATGTTCTCTAGGTACATATATAGGTGTTTCTAATCGCCTATATTGTGTACTCGGGGAACTGTAGGGAGATGCTGCCGGATTTTCCATAGAATTGAAATTCTGGCATACATTCACTAGTGAGATTGAACGTACAAGGATGGGTTAGGTTGGAGTGATAAGGACCCTTGGAAATCATTTCTCTTCTCATTTGCATTTCCATAACAGTTTGATCTATAATGAATATATATTGTGCTTTATGAATAATGTGATTAATGGCATATGTGTTAGTTGTGTAGAACTTGTAATCATGAAACGAAAAGAACGTAGCTGGATGTACGAAAGGAAGGTTGGGAATTCTGTTAATCATGAGTTCTTGAAGGGGGTAGATGAATTCCTTAAATATGTGGAAGATCATCCCGAGAGTAGCAACCCGAATGAAGTTAGGTGTCCATGTTTTAAATGCAAAAACAAACGTCTCTGGGATCCAGATATGGTCAAACTTCATTTGTATCGCAGCGGTTTTTTACCTAATTACTACGAGTGAATGTGTCATAGGGAAGGGTTTCCAGGAATTCGTAGAAGGGAGTCAAATTAATATTGTGAAATGGTTTTGGATGCCTTTGGTCAGTCTCAAGATCAAGGCCATTCCGAAGAGCCACCTGTTTCATTAGAGGAGGAGCCTAATGCACAAGCCAAGCCATTTTTTGATTTGTTAAGGGCTTCTGAACAACCGTTGTACGAAGGGAGTTCATTGTCTGTGTTAGAGATGGCTTCTAGAATCACTAGCCTAAAGTGTGAGTATAATTTGCCGCACAGATGTGTTGATGGATTTGCTTCTTTGTTTAGTGAAGCGATTCCTAACAACAACCACATGGCTGAGACATTCTATGAGGTCAAGAAAATTGTTAAGGGGTTAGAGCTGCCCCATGAAAAGATTCATGCATGCCCAAAAGGATGTATGTTGTTTTGGAAAGATGATGCTCAATTAACTGCATGTAGGGTGTGTGGCAGCGACCGATACAAGAAGACTTCTAAAGGTAGCGTAGTGCCTTTGAATGTTCTATTTTATTTCCCTATCACACCTAGGTTGCAAAGGCTTTTTGCAACTAAAAACATTTCTGAGGAAATGACATGGCATGCTAAAAATCCTCGAGTTCAAGGCACAATGGCACACCCTAGCGATAGTGAAGCGTGGAAACACCTAGATAGTTGCTTTCCTGAGTTTGCCTCTGAACCTCGTAATGTTTGACTTGGCCTATGTACGGATGGATTTGCTCCACATGGTCAGTTTGGGGGGCAGTATTCATGTTGGCTTGTCATTTTGACCCCTTATAACTTGCCTCCGTCAATGTGTATGATAAGACAGTTCATGTTTCTTTCGTTACTAGTTCCTGGTCCTAAAAACCCTAAGGGCAACTTGGATGTTTACATGCAACCGCTCATACACGAGTTGAAACAGTTGTGGGAAGTTGGGGAAAATACTTACGATATTTCGAGAAAACAAAATTTCAATCTTCGAGCAGCCATCCTATGGACCGTTAGTGACTTCCCGACTTATGGTATGTTATCTGGTTGGACCACAGCCGGTAAGAAGGCTTGTCCATATTGCATGGAGAAAAGCAAAGCATTTTGGCTCGAAAATTGTGGTAAGGTTTCTTGGTTTGACTGCCATCGTCAATTCCTTCCGACAAATCATCCTTTCGAAATAGTAAAAATGCATTTTGTAAAAACAAAGTCGAAAAAGGTTCACCACCTCACATCATGTCAGGAGAGGAACTTTGGGAATGTGTGAAAAACCTCCCGAAAGCAACAGATGGCCCCGAGGCACTGAAACGTGTCAAGAATGCAAAAAAAGGGTGGTTCAAGCAAAGCACTCTATGGGACCTTCCATATTGGAAACATCTGCTTGTTCGTCACAACTTAGATGTCATGCACATTGAAAAAAACTTTTTTGATCAGTTGATTAACACTATAATGGACGTGAAAAAGCAATCTTGTGACACCCCATCAGCTCGGAATGACATTGCTAAATACTGTAAACGGCCCCAGCTACATCTTCAAGAGGATGATAGAGGAAAAGAATTCATGCCAAAGGCTCCATTTGCTCTTGACAAGGCTCAGAGAAAGGTTTTGTGTGAGTGGGTCAAACAGCTGCGGTTTCCTGATGGTTACGCTTCCAATTTGAGCCAATGCGTTGATTTGCAATCAGGTAAGTTACATGGAATGAAAAGTCATGATTTTCACGTGTTCATGGAGAGGTTGTTTCCCACTACTTTGAGAGAATTGCTCCTTACCCATATATGGAATGCAATTACAGAGATAAGCCAATTCTTCCGCGATTTATGTTGCTACACAACTACAGTTAGCGACATGGAGCGATTGGAAAAAAACATAGCTGAGATCCTGTGCAAGCTTGATAAGGTTTTTCCCCCATCTTTCTTCAACTCCATGGAGCATTTACCAATTCATTTGCCATGTGAGGGCAAGTTATGTGGGCTTGTTCAATATCGGTGGATGTATCCTTTCAAAAGGTAAATCAAAGGTCCTTTCTCAACTCTTACTTTTATCTCTTTCATTGATTTCCGTTACTTATACTTCTACGACTACATAAACATAATTACAGGTTCCTCAATCACCTGAAAAAAAAATTGGTAATAAGGCTCGTGTTGAAGGTTCCATATGCAATGCTTATCTCACTGAAGAGATATCAAACTTCTGCTCCAATTACTTTCAGCCCTCAGTTGACACAAAAACACGAGATCTAGGTCGAAATGTGAATGCTGATGTGGAATCCCCGGCTGACAACGATGAAATCCCAGAGCTGTTCACGGTGGATAAGGGTCGTGTGTCAAATTTGGGTAAAACTCGGTATTTAGATGACAAGGAACTCGAACGTGCTCATTTGTTCGTTTTAAGAAATACCGGCATTCTTGGTGAATACGAAAGGTATATATGTTTACGATAAACTTTTGAAAATCCCTTAAATTTAATATAATTGCTGCAATGATTAACCATGTGTCATTAATCTATTAGGCAGTTTGAGGACTACATTCTTAGTACTCGAACTTATTTGCGTCGAGAAGATGTCATGGAGAAATGCGAAAGTGAATTCCCTGATTGGTTTCATCACAAGGTGATAATACCTTTCGAACATTGCATCTCGATTAATTTGTGATAATATAATATAATATATTTCATTTCAATTAGTGTGACGCTTGTATTCGTAACGGTTATAGGTGAGAGAACAAAAACCAAGTTCCGATGTGTTGTGAGCATTGTCTATGAGGCCTTTCAAGCGTGTTCGAACTTGGAACCAGATATTTGTCGGTGGCTTTAATTTCCACACACAGTCCTATGGAAAACACAAATCTACGATGAATTACGGGGTGTGTGTCTCAAGTGAGGACGGTGGAGAGTACACTCCTTTGGCATTTTAAACGGCATAATTGAACTTGTCTACACCAGTCCCGAAAAAGAGTACAAGACTATTTTGTTTAGTTGTAGTTGGATGGATTGTGGTAAAGGAATGAACATTCATGAAGAATACAAGCTTGTCGAAGTAAATCATACTAAGAAGTATCCCAAGTATGATCCATTTGTCTTATCTTACCAAGTGTCTCAAGTGTATTATGCATCTTACCCTAGCCTTAAACGTGATCGGGTTCAATGGTGGGCTGTATTTAGAACTCAAGCAAGGTCGGTGATTGATGCTCCAGTGGATTTAGAGTTTTTGCAGGGTCCTTCCCCACAAGTACATGCAACGCTTTGTCCACCAAATGACATTCCAGACTATGAACTTGATAGTGATGGTGATGATGACGATGGCTTTATTATCTCAAGCGATGAAGAAGAAGAAGAAAGCATTGGCTCCAGTGACAGTGACGAAGAAGAGGACATCGATGTATTTTTAGATGACACTAGTGATAGCAATAATGATAGTGATAATTATAGTGGTAGTAGTGATAAGAGTAATGAAGAGGAGAATATGTAGTTACTCCTTTTACTATTGTCTTCGAATGTTTAGTTTTTAATGACTACTTGGATTTGTAATATTGCATTACATTTTTGGTCTCATTTTATTATTTTAATGTCTTATGGATCTAATTTATGAATTTACAATGTGCGATTATGGTACTAATAACTTTTTCAGGTGGTCATCATGGGAGGAGGAAATAAAGGAGAAACGTCCAAGAGGAGAAAGTCTAAGGGGAAATCTCCGGTTGTACGTGTTGACGAGGATGAGTCAATGGAGGAAGCGGAGGCACATGATTTGGGGGCCTCTCAAGAAATCGTCAGAAATGTACAAGGGCAACAGGAGCAACATCAGCTTCAGGAACAGGAGCTACAGGACCCGCATCCTACTGACTTGCTAGAGTTGGACCCTTCCACACTTTGGTGCGTATGTATTTGTAAAATGAAATATCCTTAAATTCGTATTTACTTTGATAAAGTGAATTTGTATTACTTTAACCATGTTTTGTTCACTTTTTGTTGATTATCTACTTACATGAATGTCTATCCTTTATTATAGGTTTGATGATAGGCCGGTGAAGAATGTGCTCTCCGACTCGCTAACCGGCTACTATGTTCAGCCTTGGAGGAATTATGGAGAGGTTGATGAAGATTCGAGAGAGCACTTTTGGAACTTGTTCAACGTATGATAACTTTAACCTAACATAATACATGTTTTATAAATTATATTGATGGAGTTGAATTTTGTAATAAAGACATTTTCTTGATTTGCAGAAAAAATTCAAGTGGGCACCTGAGTTAAACAACCAAGTGAAGGACACTTTCGAAGAAAAGTTTGCAAATCACCTACGTGACACGTTCTACAACATCACACACAGGATGAATGGTCGCAAACCAAGATGGATTAATAAGGATGTCCACGAAGGCATGATGAAAATTGTTGCCACCGATCCAAAATATCAGAAGCGGTCGGAACAAAACAAGAAGAATCGAAGAGGCGGATCCATGGAAAATGTCGTTGAACCAACCCACTTTCAAGGTTCGATGTCATCTGTACAACATGATAAAAAGATGGTAAGGTTCCTACAATATGTTCAGTAACAATTATGTCATTTGTCTATTAATGAATTTTGGTGGGCTAACATGCTTTCATTGATTTTCTGCATGTACATATAAAGGCTGCAAAAAACCAAGGCCAATTACCAAATGCCCATGATCTTTTCTTGAAGACACACTTCAAGGAAGTTCCTGGTAAAGGACAAGTGGCTGCCAACAACAAAGTAAAAAGGATTGCGGTAAACACTTATTATATGAGTTGAAATATGGCAAATTAGCAAAGTAAAACTCAATATATGCTTATTTTGGATGAATTTGGATGAGTTAGGGTCGAACATTGACATATGTGCTTATTTCTCTTAATTTCTATCCTTAGGCACTTAAAAGTATGTGATATTGGAATGCTATAAGAAAGAACGAGTCCATTTGCTTGAAAACTTAGAAAATAGGCATGGTTTTAGCCATATAGGCCAAATTTTGATAATTTTTGATGAGTTAGGGTTGAAAATTGACATATGTGCTTATTTCTCTTAATTTCTATCCTCAGGCACTTAAAAGTATGTGATATTGGAATGTTATAAGAAAGAACGAGTCCATTTGCTAGAAAACTTAGAAAATAGGCATGGTTTTAGCCATATAGGCCAAATTTTGATAATTTTCGATGAGTTAGGGTTGAAAATTAACATATGTGCTTATTTATCTTAATTTCTATCCTTAGGCACTTAAACGTATGTGATATTGGAATTTTATAAGAAAGAACGAGTCCATTTGCTTGAAAACTTAGAAAATAGGCATGGTTTTAGCCATATAGGCCAAATTTTGATAATTTTCGATGAGTTAGGGTTGAAAATTAACATTTGTGCTTATTTCTCTTAATTTCTATCCTTAGGCACTTAAAATTATGTGACATTGGAATGTTATAAGAAAGAACGAGTCCATTTTCTTGAAAACATAGAAAATAGGCATGGTTTTAGCCATATAGACCAAATTTGGATGATTTTGGATGAGTGAGGGTTAAAAATTGACTTATGTGCTTATTTCTATTAATTTCTATCCTTAGGCACTTAAAAAAAATTGATATTGGAATGTTAGAAGAAACAAACCTTACATTTGCTTGAAAACTTAGAAAATAGGCTTGGTTTTAGCCATATAGGCCAAATTTGGATGATTTTGGAGGAGTGAGGGTTGAAAATTGACATATGTGCTTATTTCTCTTAATTTCTATCCTTAGGCACTAAAAAGCAATTAATATTGGAATGTTAGACGAAAGAACGAGTCCATTTGCTTGAAAACTTAGAAAATAGGCATGGTTTTAGCCATATAGGCCAAATTTGGATGATTTTGGACGAGTGAGGGTTGAAAATTGACATATGTGCTTATTTCTCTTAATTTCTATCCTTAGGCACTTAAAAGCAATTGATATTGGAATGTTAGAAGAAAGAAACCTTACATTTTCTTGAAAACTTAGAAAATAAGCATGGTTTTAGCCATATAGGCCAAATTTGGATGATTTTGGATGAGTGAGGGTTGAAAATTGACATATGTGCTTATTTCTCTTAATTTCTATCCTAGGCACTTAAAAGCAATTGATATTGGAATTTTAGAAGAAAGAACGAGTCCATTTTCTTGAAAACTTAGAAAATAGGCATGGTTTTAGCGATATAGCCCAAATTTGGATGATTTTGGATGAGTGAGGGTTGAAAATTGACTTATGTGCTTAATTATCTTAATTTCTATCCTTAGGCACCTAAAAGTATGCGATATAACTCCATATTGTTGGTTGTTTTTTTAACAATATTTTTTTATCTCAATATTTTGTAGGACACCTACCAGAAGAAGCTCGGAGAAACAATGAGTCAGGGGATTCAGAAGAGTCCCAATGAGTTGTACTGGGAGTCGGTGGGTGGGTGCAATAAGAAGGGGCATGTGAAGGGACTTGGCCAAAGTGCAGAGCTCTACTATGGCAAACAGGGTCGAGGTTCTCGTTCTTCACAGCAATACACGCCGTCTGTCATTTCTCAAATGCAAGACCAGATGGAACACAGGGTGCAAACTCTCCAAACTCAAATGGAAGCCCGAATGGCTGAAATGGAGAGGAGATACAAGGAGAGTTTCGATGAGATGATGAGTCGTCTCAACAACAATGACTCATGTTCCACCATTCATCCTCAGCATCGAGACCTTAGGAACGACCCGGGTGGTGGTGGAGCAGGCCAGGGTGGACTATCTTTTGTACTAGGACATAATTATTATATATATATGTACATAACCCTAATTTTGTAGGTCGGTAATTAATTTTTTTAAAACAACAATTTTAGGACTCAATATTTAGTTTTTTTTTTGTCGATTTATCATTAAAAAAATTCAGGTTTGAAAATGCAGAAAATTACAAAAATTTGTTTTGGGCTGGAAATACAATTTGCGACGGAATATTTCGTCGTAATTTACATATTTGCGACGGAATTTTCCCTCGCAAAATATGATTTACGACGGAATTTTCCATCGTACAAATATACATTGCGATGGAATTTTCCGTCGTAAATTATATTTTGCGACTGAAAATTCCGTCGTAAATTATATTTTGCGAGGGAATTTTCCGTCGTAAATCGTGTTTTGCGAGGGAAAATTCCGTCGCAAATTATATTTTGCGAGGGAAAATTTCGTCGTAATGTAGCTTTGCGACGGAACTTTTTCCGTCGGAAGTTTGCGACGGAACTTCATCAAAGGCCAATTCCAAGTCCGACGATATTATTTCCGTCGTAAATTCCGTCGTAAATTTGGTTTACGACGGAATTTCCGTCGTAAAATGGCCATTTTCCTACAAAGGGTTTTCCGACAACCATTTACGACGGAATTCCGTCGTAAACCAACTTTACGACGGAATTTACATAGTTTACGACGAACTTTTTCTGTCGCAATTTTGCTGTTTTCTTGTAGTGATATGAGTTTAAGAGTTTTTGCAAATGCAATGCTCTATTGAACTCCTACACAAGCAAAGAATTCTTAGGCCCTGCTTTGGCTATTTATATGGAAGGATAGCTTGTGAATTCCACTCATCTTTCAATGTATGACTTTTTCACAAAAAGATCCCACATGGAAAGATTGATGAATTCAACCCTTATTTAAATAAACCAAGGAACAAGTAACAAGTGTCACATGGTTAGGTGAGGACCACTTTCTCACTTGGTCCCCAAGGCATTTCACATGCATTGTGAACTAACCATGTGTCACCTAACCTTGAGACCCAAGTTGCGTTCAGTTGGGCTACTTTCTTTTGGCCCGTGTCCATGACCCATCACCCGGGTCCACGACCCTTTCCACATGTGCTGCCAACGTGGCGGCTACGTGCGCTGCCACGCGTGCTACCACATGGCATTTTTCCATGTGTGCTACCACGTGGCAGACTCCTATATGACGCGATTTCCTAGTCTTTTGCATGGCTAGAATTTTACTTGTTACTTGAAGTATTTGCCCGTCTCACCAAATCCTAAATTTTTGCTCGACATTTGAGATTCTCTGACGCTCGGTTTCGACGCTCCAAGCTCGAATTTTCAACGTCTAAATATTTATTACTCGGGCGACTTATTAATTCTTCCGAATTAATTCGTCCTGTCGGTTCTTTCGTTGCTTGGGTGTGACCCAAAGAGTTCAGTCAAGATTGAGCTGTAATATTAATTATGCATTAATATTATTGATCGGAAGCGGCCTCCACCTAGGCATTCCGATCACTTGACTTTACTAAATATATTAGCTTTACAATAACTCTAAACCCACTATCAGAATTATACACTTATTCGAAGGACACCATTCCTTTCAATCTCTCACTTGTCCTTCCGGACAAGTGAGCTTTCAATGTATAGCCCCTTTCCTATGTCTCTTCATGAACTATAGGTTAAGATTATTCGTCATCCCTATTACGTCCAGAAGTGTTTCTTGAAATTAAAATTTGACTGTCAATAAGCAGATGATTTCTAAAATCCATCTGAGCACGGCCATGCATTTTCACAGTGTCGTTCTTCGAGAGGCCTTGTAAATAACAAGACATGCTCCCTATTGTTAGTAGGGGGACATTCCTAGTCTTGTAATGTAGCTTCTCTTACTAAGAGGACCTAGCCGCCTGATAGCCATCGTTATAATCCCCAATTACGACAGACGTTTGACCGACATAAAAAACAGACTAGTACTCAAACAAGAGACCTCACAATAATTATGGTCATGGAAAAGAGTTCCGATAGCAATAATGAGAGATATACTTATGATGATTTTTAATCTCTTAAAGTATTTTCATAGGTCGATCCAGTATGGTACTAAACCAGTACCTGTGCAAATGATTTATGTCCTCATAGCACAAGAAACTGTGCCATAAATCATACTACACACAAATCTCTATTGGTCATTAATCGTCCACCATATAAATGACCTTGATTAGGGATAATTTTCGATTAAAATATTCAATGTTCACTTAATAGGTGTTTCTTTATCCAAGACATTGTCTTGATCCCCTATTTTGAATATTCTTTAAAATCGAATGGACTCATTATTTAATTCTAAACCACAATTAAATAGAAAACTGAGTGATAAAAAATTGCATGAAATTTTAAATTACTCCAAAACCTAAATGGTTCATCTTATGATAAATGGTTTTTCCAAATGTTTTAGGAGTATCACTCCTTATAAAACATCTATAGAAATCACACCCATATCTAATATGCTTGATTTCTTTCATGCAATTGTAAATGTTGTCGTTCACTTATTGCATAGGTTTAGTTATAACTACTTTGCTAATC